ATCAAAGTACATAATACCATGAGCTCTTCTTCAACAAAAAGGAATTCATATAATTGATTCGATCCAAGGTTCAAAAGATGGCATCAAGAAAAGGATATTATAGCTTGTAGCATGGTTATAAATCAAAGAAAAGGCTAAGGCTCGAAGGGGTTTACTAGTGATTCATGAAAAAGGGTAGGCTTCAAAAGAGAGGATATAAAGAGAAAAGGCTAGTCCTATGTACCCTTATTAAGATTTTATGCATTCAATTTCATCAAAGGTGAACACATAGACATGCATAGCAAAGCAAGTTCTAGAAAAACCAACTAGTCGAGACATCACACATTCAAGAAAAATGGAGCAAGTTATTCAATATATGCTCATAGGCTCAAATCTCACCAACAAAAGGTAACGAGTGTTAATTCCATGCGTCTCCATCACATAATCATCAAGTAATATTCATCATCATGTAGCACCAAGGGCTCAAACATAACAAGTGTACGGACACAAGAAGAAGATTGTTCTAGAGAATTGGCATAAATGAATTGAAAACTACCACAAGAGAAATAACAATCAAGACTCAACACCATTAAACAAACCTAAAAACTCAAACCTGTGATAAATACTCTTGACCACATTTCAAATATTATGAAGGAAGATAGGCATAGAGACTCACAAAATTTTATCCAGGTGGCATGCATGGACAACCTTTAATTTCCTCAAAGATCTGTTAGAACTCCCATTAAAGCTGTCACGATTCCTTATTCTATAGTGATGTCCATGTTGCTGTGAAGAAATTCCAAGTCTCTATTGACATGGTCATGTCGTTTTAAGCCCAACACCATCAGTCCCAATGTTCAAGCAAAAGTCTGCACAGAGAACAGAAAAGTATCAACAACAGCAGAAACAAATTATTTTAAGGCATGGGCACGGCTTAAAAACTATCATGTAACGTGTACGTAGTATCTACCTTAAATCACTTCAAGTCCTAAACAAACTAGAGAAATAACAAAATAATAAAAAATAATAATAATGCTAATAATAATCTAGAATAAAGCAATAAAATTTGGGTTTCCTCCCAAAAGCGCCCTTTTTTATCGTCGTTGGCTCGACACGAAGTTCTCAATTTATTCAGAATAAATGGGGTCCTCGAGGCCCTCTCTTTCTTCATGCTCAGGTTGGAAGTTCTCGTGATATGGCTTAAGTCGATGTCCGTTGACTATGAAAGACTTCAAGCTCGACGGACTCCGAATCTCAACAGCCCCATGAGTACAGACCTTGGTGACTTCAAAAGGTCCTTTCCATCTCATTCGTAGCTTTCCTGGAAATAACTGAAGACGGGACTGGTACAAGAGAACTTTTTGCCCAACTATGAATTGCTTTCTCGAAATCATCTTATCATGAATAGCCTTTGTCTTCTCTTTGTAGATCTTGGCGCTCTCATAGGCCTCGTTTCTCATCTCTTCCAGTTCTTAAATTTGTAGTCTCCTATTCTCGTTGCTTGCACTCATGTCCAGAAGCTTCAAGACCTCAGCTTTCACGACATCCAACACCACTGGATTCAAGCAGCTTTGGGGTTGACGAATAGCTTCAGCTCCCGTCTCCAGTAAAATGAGATGCGTGCAAATCGAGGGGTTTATTCTCTTTATGTCCGAGATAATCCACCCCAACGCTTGCTTGTGTGACTGGAGAACTTTCACGAGCTCGTCTTCTTGAGTTTTGTTAAGCTTACTCGAAATAATCACTGGAAGTGTGTTTTCCTCTCCCAGGAATACATACTTGACATGGACGGCCAATGGCTTCAGTTCCTTGACGGGTGTCTGCAAAATGGAGGGTGGGGATTTTTCATTAGTATCGAAAGAACTAATACCACTAGACTCACCTTTACCATTGGTCTTTAAGCCATCATCCATGATCATGTGATTGTCCAATTCATTGGCTTGACCTGGGGCAATGCTAGGTAGTGAGTTGTCTGCAAAAGTCCTAATGGTGTCGCCCATGGTATTATCCTCTGAAAGTGACAAAATTTCCTGAGCCAAATCATCAACCAAGTCAACAGATAGTACGAATTCATCGTCACCAGGATACTTCATAGAATTATATATATTAAATTTAATTAACTGATCATCAGATTCCATGCTAAGAATTCCATTATGCACATCAATCATGGTCTTAGACGTTTTTAGAAAAGGTCTTCCAAGTAAAATAGGAGCAGTAGCATTGTTTTTCTCCATATCAAGAACATAAAAATCCGCTGGAAAAACCAAGTCATTAACTTGAACAAGAACGTCCTCGACCAAACCCTTCGGAAACACATTGGACCTGTCCACCAATTGAATGAAAACTCCTGTTGGACTTAAAGGTTCGACCTTCAAAGAACTATAAATTGCATATGGCATTACATTTATAGAAGCTCCCAAGTACAACATAGCTCTTTCAAAATGAATTCCACCTATGACACAAGGAATCGAGAACATACCTGGGTCC